CACACACAACAGTGCTGGTGGGTGGGCAAATTGGCGGAGGGCAGCCGTGGGCACATCCTCACAAAGTTGGACGGTTACTGATATGAACAGCAGTTCCGATCTTAGGTTTCTCCTCCAAAGGAATGACACTCAAGCCCACACAAAGACCAGTGTGGCTGCTCACAGCGGCGTCATGCATAAGAGCCAGCGCTTCTACTTTCAAATGGTGGAAAGTCCATTACTCAAAAATAAGAAGGGCCTCCCTGGTGGCCTAGGGGTCGAGTCTCAGCGCCATCACTGCCACGGCGGAGTGCGATCTGGCCGGGAGCTGACCCCAGGGCACAGCAGACCTCTCCTGACCCACCCGCTGCTCCCCTCACCAGTGTATTTCAGTAGATCCGCCTGTTCTGCTCCCCACTCTGGTGAATCCTCTCACATACACACTCCCCAGCACTTCTGGCCTTCACCCCAGTTCTACACACACACACAAATAGGAAAGTAAAAAAAGGGCGTTCAAAATTAAAGCGTGTCTGTCTCTGGGAACTGTCACGATGGGAACTTTTCACACTCTAATTCTGACCCCTGGAGAAAATGAGGAGGGAACTGATCATCAAAAGTCCTTCTTCAGCCACAGGCACCTTCTCAGGTAAGCCCGTCCCAGTCACGGTGCTCACTGGCCTGTGTGAATTTCTTAAACCTGAGTTTGTTCAGATCTGGATGGACATATCCAAGCCTACTGTTTCCAGAAAAGTCCTCAGGTGGGCTGAGCGCGAGGGAGCTAGTGTCGCTCCTGGAGGCTCCATTCATTCTCTGCCACACGTGGGGCTTTCTGGGGGTGCCCCGAGGCACTCAGACCGGTGAACAGAGCTGTCTTCCCTGGAAGAGCAGCAGAGGTTTTAAATGTCCAGGGAAATCGCATTTTAAGAAAACCAATAAGGAACCCTTTTCTTTAAGGGGAAAAATTATTCTGGTGGTAAAATGAACTGTAAAAACAAATTAGGTTCTGAAAACAATTTCGAAAACGTATTTTATCTTGATATTCCTCCCTTTGCTAATTTCTTTAAAACGGCTGTCGTAAACTTTACAGAAAGGCAATTATTTGCTAGGAGAAAGTAGTCTTAATTAGGATATGTGTCAAGGAAATAGAACGATCAATTTCCCTAATTAAAATGAATATGTGAACACGCCTGAGGGCCGCGAGCCTGCCAGGTGAGACATGTACCTTGTCCTCAGGACACACATCTGTTGCCAGGCAGAGAGACAGTGATCCTGGGGGCGGGGGGGGCGGGGGGAGGGCGTGGCTGCAGGCAGCTCCCCGTGACCCCACCGGAGGGTGTGCGGGCCACTGTCACGCTCATAATCTCCGGAGGGAAATGGTCTTCACCTTCTCGCCGAGGACCCACTGCGCCCCCACCCCCAAGCTTCCGTGAAACCTAACCCCAGGCGGAAGGTGTGTGCAGGTGAGGAGCTTGGAATGTGATTAGGTTATGAGATGGAGCCCGCAGAAGGTGATGAGGTCCTTGTAAAAGACCCAAGAGCACGCCCTCTTCCACTCGGTGGGGCACAGGGGGAGGGTGGGACCCACCAGGTCTGCCAGCGCTTTGACCTTGAACATCGACCTTTGGGAGCAGGAGTGAAAAATGAATCCTGTGGCTTATAAGCGACCTGGTCAGTGGTATTTTGCTGGAGAGGCCAGCGCAAGTGGACGACAGCACAACCCACTCACCCACGGGCTGACTTGACACAGGGCTCACTGGCCCATCCTGGAGGGCGCCCCAGCGGCCAGCGTGAGGGGCCCCAGGGCTGTGAACCCTGGCAGGGCTTCTTAAGCTAACTGACCCTCTTTGGCAGAGCTCAGGGGAAAGCAGCTCCTCCCCCGCTGCGGTGCCAGCCCTGGTCAGCTCTGCCTTCCCCCAAAGCCCACACGCACTGGACCCCCCAGAGGATCACCCCTCAAGGTTGGCAGCAACGTTATTGGGGATGCAGGCCAAGGGAGTCGGTGAGAGCAGCCTGGGGGGCACAAGGGCACCCTCCAGACCCGGGTTCTATGCCCAACCTCCCAGGCCAGGCCTCTGATAGCCCAGAGCCAAAGGGCCCCACGGGGCGCACTGATGCTACCCCGGCCGGCCCGCGTCCACGCCCGCGCCACTCCTCACGTGGCCACACGCTATTCTCCTGTCCACCAGGCATCACCACAGGGCTCCGAGCAGACGCTGCCCGTATTCCTGGGGGGAGAGTGATGAGACTTCCCACCTCGGTCTCCTTCCAGTTCCCAAAACAGAGCGCTCCAGCCTACTCCCCGCAGCTCCACCCAAGCTGTCCTCCGAGGGGCCACTTCACCGCCAACCCACAGCCAAGCCCGTCTGCTCTGCGCCAACACTGCCCTAGACCCTGCGAGGTGGGCCGGGGCACCCCCTGCCTCAGCCCTCCTCCCCAGGCTAGGTGGCCCGGCAGCAGGGGGCTTTATCTTCCCAACCTCCGGCTGGGAGCCCTGCGGCGTGTCTGTTTCTCCTTCCTGCCCCCACGGGTGGTGTCTCCTCAGGTCGCACAGCCGACTCCTCCAAGCCCTTTCTGCAGCCACGCCACCGACCCCTGCACCGATCAACCCAGTCCGCCGCCCAGCTGTGCCCTCACCCACCAGGGGCCTCAGATTTCCTGAGTGCACATAAAGCCACTGCTTGCTTCCCAAACCTGACTCAACTCCCGGAATTCTCTTCACGGCCCCATCAGAACCCTGAACCAAAGCGTAAAACCGTGGCGCCCCTCCAGGGATGCTGGCAGTTGCCAGGATAATTTCTGACACTAAGTTTAGCTGAGATAACGAGCCTGAGGGCCCCCCGGTGTGCCTGGCCCCTCCTTATCTCCTCTCCTCACACACCAGAGAATTCAACAGGATCCTAAGATCCAACTTATGTTTCCGTAAGTTGGAAAGTAGACACACAGCAGAGCAAGGGGGGACGCACTGCACTGTGGCGCCTGCACTGTGGAAGGTGATGGCACAGACCTGGTAAAGCTGGACCGATTGGAGCCCCAGCCCAGAACGTCGTGCTGGGTCTAACTAAGCCCTGGAGAAGCTTCCCCAGGTATCCTCAAGGAGTCAAGTAAGAGGGGCTCGCAGGAGCACTGGTAACAGGGGCGGAACCAGACACAACCTGCTGTCATCCAGAGCTGTCAGGATCCTAGCAGGAAATGGCCGTGGCCCTCAAATTAGGTTAAGAAAACGAGGGCTTGGGCCGGGGACAGTAAGAGACTTAAAGGAGCAGGTTGGCAGCAAAAGGCAGAAAAGCAGAGGTGCCGTCACCCCTACATCTGACGAAAGCATGGAGAGACAGAGTGGCCATGCAGACCTGGAGAGCCCCAGCAGCTCCAGGTAACCCCACAGGGAGTACATGGGGGTAATAGATAGCCTGACTCTGGTTTCCACCACTGATTTCCCCACTGGCTGAGCCCAACAGGAAGCCAGAGGGCAAGGAACCCTTAGAGGTTTAGGTCTCAGAGGGGGGCCTCCTGCAGCAACATGGGGAGGAAGAGAGCAGTTGTGGAGAGGCAAAGGGAAGACACTGTGCTCAGCAGGGCACTGGATAAAGGCTCTACTCATACAACAGGCCATTGCCCTGTGGGAACACGCTAGAGCCACTTATAAACTTCAAAATCTCGTTGGGCCAAAAAGGCATATGAACGCATGCCCAGCGGGTTGTCCTTTCCAAAACCCACCACAGCTGTATTTCTGGACATGCTCTTCAGTCTTACTTCCCTTGCAATTCCCAGGAACTGCAAAGAAGTTCAAGAACAGGGTTTTCAGACAGAGGATTACAGGTGTAACCTACTTGATATAGGGTAGTCAGGGGAAGTCTTATTTGAGAAGTGACTGAACTTCAAAACGTGTGTGACAACAGAGGAGTCGGGCCCACGCATCAGCCATTTGTTATGGGGGCAGAGAAGAGCAGGGGCCTAGGCCAGGAGGCCAGGAAGACCTTGACCTTTGTAAGGGCTGTTCAAGAGCACAATCGTGGCAGGAGGTATGGCAGGAGAGAACAGCAAATGTGAAGCAAGAGGTGTGTAGAAACCAGATTGGCGGGGCATCTGGAGTGACTTCCCTTAACTTTCAATGGCCTGGGGGAAGAGAATCTGGCCCGACCAGCAAAACGCCCTGGAGACTAAGGAAACAGGAACAATCTTCCTTAGTGCCTTACAGCTCAAGAATTCCCTGACATGGGGCTGCAGACCTCTCCTGTGTCCCCGCTGCTCCCCTGAGCAGTGTATTTCAGTAGACCCGCCTGTTCCCACTGTTTCTGGTGAATCCTCTCCCTCCATCCCCCCACCTCTGGCAAGTACCCCAGTTCTTGTATGCATAAATAAATAAATCTTAAAAAAAAAAAAGTCCCCTTCATTAGCACCGAGCATGTGTCTGACCTTGTGACCTTGGGTCACAGAAATGCTTTTGCTAACTCTTCTCCCGGCGATCTTAACAAAGCCGTTTTGCAAGGGGGCAGACAGTCGAATTCAAAGTCCAGACACTTAGCCCTCGCGGGGCTGCAGGCAGCCTTGCCGCCCTGTTCCGATGAACTCTGATGATACGCTGGTGGGTGACCCGCAGTCCGAGACCCGTGGCTGGGGGCGCACAATCCCCTCTCCAGCTCCCACCGAGGGTCCCACGGAACCGCGCTGTTCTCATGCCCATTTTACACACGAGGACACTGAGCCCAAGTCGCGTCGAGTGACGTGTCTAAGGCCAAGCTGCCAGCTGTGCCTGCTGCCTTCCTCTAGCTTCCCTCCTCTCTGGACGTTAGGTGGAAGGCCGCGGGCGCTCTGACGCCCAAGTCCTCGCCCCCCCAGTGGCCTCTCGCGCACCCCCAAACGCCAGACCTGCGGGCGGTGCGGCCGCTATTGTGGTCCCCGGTTCCCGGGTGCAGCCGTGAATAGGTCCGGCTGGAGGCCGCCCACCCTGGCGCAAGGTTCCCCGGCGAAAGGTTCCGCAGCCCCGAGGTCTTCCCCCTCCGCGGTCGACGGGCCGGCAGTACCTGAGGGGAACGCGTCCAGGGTCCTGCCCCGGGCTCTGTGGAAAACACCCCCCGCCTCCGGAACCGACATGGCGAGCGAGCTTCTCCCTCGCCTGAGTACTCCGTGTGGGAGGGGACGGCGTGACTCCACCCCTGCCAACCGCCCGGCCGCCGCCCGGCTCGGGGAGGCGCCCTCTGGCCCTGGAGAGCTGGGCGGGTGCGCGGGGCTCGGGCCCTCGGGGCGCCACTAGTGCTGCCTAGGCGGGGCGCTAGCGCGAGCGACCCCTCCGGGATCGACTGGGGTGCCTGGCGAGTGCAGGGCGCTGGTCTGGGGCTCGCGTGGACCCCTGGGGACTGCAGTGGGCTCAGACTGGAGGCGTGGGGGCTTCTCTTCCTAAAGATGGGATTGCCGGGTTTAACGAACAAAGACCCAGGCTGTCTGGTTACATTAGAATTTCAGATTTTAAAAAATCATTGCTCAGTATATCTCAGGCTGCATTTGAGAGATACTTGTATCCGTTTTATTTCTTCTGAAATTCCAGTGTGACTGGGCGCCCGCATTTTACTTGCAAGCCTCCTAGGACAACAAGGACGGGGGCCTGTTTAGAAGTGAGAAATCTGTTACGTCCTGTTTCTCGGGGAGCAGACTGCGGACCTGCCCCGGATTGCCATCCCTTTATGCTAGATTGCATTAGCTTGAATAAATATAATAAATAAGATATAACTGCTAGGGATGTTATCATTTATAATTCTGAAAGCGTCTGCCAAGCATGACCTGCTTATTACAACCTTTATCTCTCTTTCAATATGAGACCACAGGGCTTTGAGGAGACCAAGCCATTTATTTGCCTTACCACACTCCTGCAAAGTCAGTCAGGTTCCCCCTTTCCAAAGTCAGGCTCCCCCTTTCCGCACTCCCTGCCTCCATGGCCCATGGACAGCCATAGGTTTCACTGGAAAACCCTGTAGAGCCATAGCCCTTCATTTGCTTTCATTTTATTTTCCATCTTCGCCCCACGGGGCAGTGTCTGATTGTGTTTGCTAAGGTGGTGACTGCTTCGTTTCCCACCAGAAGGAGTAACTTCACGCAGGTCTGATCTGACAAATCTTACTCGTTTTTAATCTTTCCCCAAGCACTAGTCCCGTTTTTTTTTATGGAACTAATGTTCTGGAGAAACAAGGGCTGGACCCAGGGGCACAGCATCAGTACAAGAATCTGGATTTTCTCTCGAGTCTGGCCACATCCGTCTCAATGAGTGGTCTCAACCCTCCAGCACATTAGCATCAGCCACCTGGGAGCTTTCTGATTGATAAGGGTTGTGGGACCTGAGCACTGGTCTTAAAATTGCCCCAGTGGTTTGAGTGTGCCGCTGGGAGGGTGGGGGAAGGAGCTGTTAGTCTAGACCCCAGGATGCGGCAGCTACTGCCTCAGAGGACAGCAAGTAAACACGCCAGCCAGTGGGGCTGCTGAGATGAGAGGACGGTGACATTTGCTGTGTTGCTGGGAGCTAGAATATGTACCTTTTAATAGAGGTGCCATGTATACTTCAGTGCAATCTGAAAGGTTGCACGCTGGGTTAATAGCGTCCCCCCACTCTTGTGACTTATTTGAAATAGGGTCTTTACAGATGTGATTGGGTAAACTGAGCACACACTAGATGAAGGTGGGCTGTTGACCCAGTGACTGGGGTCTTGATGAGAAGTAAAGTGAGTACACAGAGAAGGCCATGTGGCAAGAGAAGCAGAGAAGGGAGGTGTTACAGGGCAGGGAGAGGGGCACCCCTGAACCCCTAAACCTAACCTGCTCTAAATAGGTTCTGCCATCTACCGCATCAAGACAAGACATAAGAGCTTTAATGGAAAGGAAGTTTAATACAATTGTAACAGGGTGGTCCCTAGGAAAAAGGGAAGTTCCAGGTTCCCTGCCCCACCCAGAAGGAGGGTGCAGCTGAGCAGAGAAAAAGGAGAGAAGAGGAGAGAGAAGAGAAGGAAATGAAGCTGGATGGAGAAGGAGGAGACATGGAGCAGCGAGCATGTGATGAAGAAACCGGGCTTGTTTCCTGATCCTGGACTGGTGAAGGCAGATGTGGGTGAGAGACCTGTAGGGAGGTGACTATGGCAGTGTTTATATTGATTTTGATTTTGCTCTTTTGCCCCCAGATGTTTGGCCATTTCTGACCCTTTTCCATGCGTCCCGGCCAGAAGGTGCTTTAGTCTAGTGGCAGCTTTCAGGCCTTGTTTTGGGCCAGTCCCTTTTGGGTTGACTTTTGCCCAAGAGGGGATGGGTAACTTCAGGTGTTTGATTTAGAAGTTCTATTCTTTGTGTTCCGTATTGTATATTCACTGTATTAAAGTCCCTTTTCATTAAAGTTTTACATGTTTCGTCTTGTTGCAGCGGATGGCAGAACTTAGAGCAGGCAGGTTTTGGGGCTTTAGGGGTGTCTCCCTCTCTCCCTGTCATATAACAGATTTTGTCCTATAATATAATCAGTGTGCAGTACAGAAAAGGTAAGGAATATAGTTTCTAAATCAAACACCCAAAGTCACCCATCCCCTCGTGGGTTAAAGTCTACCCAAGAGGGACTGGCCCAGAGAAGTCCTGAAAGCCTGACACAAGTCTAAAGCACTTTCCCGTGGGGACCTATAGAAAAGGGTCAGAAAGGCCAGATAAGTCTGGGAGGAAAAGAGCAACATCAAACTCAAGATAAACGCCGCCATCGTGAACCTCCCCCCGGGTCTTTCTCCTCCATCTGTTTCACCCAGTCCAGGGCCAAGAAGCAAATGCAGATTCTTCACCTGTCTGCTCCCTGCACCCCCTCAGGTCTCCTTCTGGCTCCATCCTGCTTCCTCCTCTTCAGTCTCCTCTCCAGATTCTTCTCCTCCCTGCTCAGCTCCACTCTACTTTTGGGGGGGGGGGACAGGGAACCTGGAACCTCCCCTTTTCCTGGGGACCCCTGTTACAGAGGGACACAGCTACAAGCCCAAACACCAAAGAGCGCTGGCAATGGCGGAACTGGGAGCAAGCAAAGAGGGATCTTCCTTGGCGCCTTTGGTGAGCCTTGATTTCACCTCTAGCATCTAGAGCTAAATTTGTTGTTTAAAACCACCCAGACCTGATGTTTTTTGACTCCCTAGTAAACAAATATAGATTTCTATTATTGCCATTTGACAGATGAGAAAACTGAGCGAGTAGGAAAGATACAAAGAAGCTGGACATCTAGGCAGGGAGAACCCTGTGCAGCTTTATGGGAGCTGTGTCTTTGGGGGCTCGGTCCAGCAGGTGACCTCAGGCAAGTCCCCGAGTCTTCCTAAACCACAGTGTCAAAATAGAGCATTTCTTGGAGTTTGGGAGAGAAGTAAATGAGAATCCAGGGAAAATTCCTTGACTTGTATGTGGTCAGCTCTCGAAAATGGTACCTGTAATGAGAGTCATTTTATAAGTATTAATAAAAGATGAACCTGGCCAAATACTTCCAAGAGTCAGAGGAAGAATCAGAATTTACTTCTGCCTTTGTGCTAAGCTTCACCCTCTTTATATAAGTGGTGGAATGATCTTTGAGCAACAAAGTCAACTGGAGGCCAGGGAGGAGGGTCTCGAGCTCCCCCTCGAGGCGAGCACAGGAATTAGACCACGTTGAGACAGGGAGGCTTAAACGTGGGAAGAAAGGAGGTAAGACAGGCTAGGTCGGGCCAGGCTGGGAAGAACTTTGAACACAGGCAGAGGAGTTGCTTTAGGACACACAGACAAAACGGCCCAGGTGGGAAGGAACCGGATGTGGAGAGAGCAGCTGAAAACTGAAGTGCCTGGTGTCCGGTTCTGGCCGCAGAATGCAGCAGGAAACAAGGGTGGCAAGAGACAGAACAAGCAGAGGGACTCAAGCAGGAATGAAAGGCTTGGATCTCCAGCCTGAGAAAACAGGGGAAAATGGCTCTGCTCTGAGGAACAGATGTAGTGGAAGGGAGAGCCAGGTTGGGAGGGGTGGCGGGGAGGGAGAGAATGAGTTGGTTGTTGAGCGCAAAAAATTGGAGGGAATTCGGAAAGAGGAAAGCTGCGTTTGCTTATGTCTTTGCCAAATGTTAGCTTGGATTCTGCCTCATAACCCTCTGGGTTCCAGTCACTTGATTTTTAAAGATTGAGGGCACTGCTCTAGGCTAGAGTAGACAAACTGGGAGCAGATGTGGCTTGTTTGTCTACACGGGGTTTTACATTTTAATTAACTACCAACATTTCAACAATGAGAGGTTCTACACAAAGTCCAGATTTCTGTTCCCAGCAGTTGGTTGAAGCTGAGTGTCAGCTGTTCCCCTTAGACTGGACACATAACCCCAGTTTTCCCACAGTCTCAGACAGGGGTGCAGAGCTGGGAATTACCTAAGTGAGGTGATGTCAGCCCGCCAGCTACCTCCTGGGTGTAAAGTGCCTAGAAAGAAGAACAGAAAAGCCGGAGCAAAGGGCATCCACGTGGTCTTAAGGATGGTCAAGGTTAAGGCAGTGGGGATGGGGGGTGCGAGGCAACACAGGACACAGAAAAGGAGAGTTTAGATGCCTGAGGATGGTGCAGGGTAATGGGGATAAAAAAAGTTTCTAGAAGGAATAATTCCACAAAATGAAAACATTATCTAGGGGTGTAGGGTGCAGGCACTGGGCACTGGCTGCCAGGCTGAGATCCTCATGGCTCATGTTATCCTTCCAGAGCCTGAGGAGGCACGTACCCTAATCTTCCCATTTCACAGATGACGCTCTGGAAGTTTAAAGACGTTGCCACCATCACATAGGTGTTTCTGTCGGTTCTTGGCAATCTTGAGCCAGTAGAATAAGTCACTCACTGTTGAGCAGGAGGTCAAGGACACAAGACTGTCCAGGGCGGAGGCGATATAAAGTCCGGCGACGTTGACCCGGTGGTGGGGGGCGGGGGGGGGTACTCTCAAGGATGATGGAACCACAAAAAGACAATAGGTTGATATGCAATTTCTGTTTTCTTAGATGAAAATGATCAGATCTCAATTTTATATAGCTCATCTTAATGTTTACGAGCAAATATCCCAATGGACAGCTTCCACACTGGGGCACTTTTCTGATCATTTTTTTCTTATTGTCTTATTATCAAATAAGTTCTTAGAAATGTGGTCACTGAACCAAAGTGCATACACAGGCGAAAAGGGGGCTGTGGACACCCACTATCCCCATGATACAC